GTCAACAAATATAAAAAGTAATAGAGAATTTAAAAGGGCTTTGATACTTGAGTAAACAACCTCCTGTTTATAAAAACTTGGTGGCAATGTAATGAGATTGTTGTAACTACCTAATTAAATAAGCTGCTACTAAAGGAAGAGGAGTTCTTTAATTTACAGCAAAACGTTTCTTGAGGGAATACTCTTTCCTTCTAGAACATTTAAAATCTATATAGAATTTAAATCTATATAGAAAAAGAACTGGAACCAGTTATACTAAATTAAGAATCAGTAGAAGACATAATAGGATAGAAACTGTGCAGTCTGAGGGTATATTATGTCTCAATAAAGTAGAGTAGACAAAACATTAACCCATCACTTATGTCTCTTGAAGGCTGCTTGACAATGTTTCTTTAAATTAAAAACAACAAAGCAATATATAGCTTACTTGCCAAAATTAGGAATGTCTGGTACGGTCAGTTCATCAAAATACTTTCTAAGATAAAGAGCTAGGGAAGCAATATACTAGTTTTCATAAAGAGAAAAAAGCAATCAACTCAGTATCAAAGCACCATGTTTATGAAATAGAGGGAGTATTAAAAAAAAAAAGCATGATTTTGTTTATGTATCTCAAACATAACTATATTTTTAAATATCTTATTAGAAAGAAACTTTTTTCAAGTACTACATTTAATGTTTCCCTGATTTTTAAACACGCAAAGCATTAAGTATATATACGGAATATCCAATCTCTTTCATTTTAAATGCAAAACCTGACAATAATTCAAGTTTGTGCTGACTTTGTAAATAAGTCGAAAAACCTATTCAATCATTACTAAACATCTGTTTACTTTTATACAGGACTTAATAACAGGAACATCAACTATTAAAAAATACTGTTTCACAAGATAACACCATGAGGTAGTCATAGTATCTTCCTGCTCGGGAAATGAAAGCAAAAAGGCCAAGTAGTTGGATGATCTTGTAGCATATCAGAAATGAATTCAAAATCAGAATCAACATCCTGAATTTCTGTTTTCAGTATTACTTATTAAGATTATAGACAACCTCTGTTGATTCAATCTGCCATTGGGGTGGGGAAGATAATACTCCATATTACAGAAACAAATAGAATTATGATTAATATCAATAATACTTAGGCTTCTCTTAATTATAATCTAAAGATCTCTGTAAAAGTGCAGAATAAGATAACTCAAGATTTAAAGACATTCTTCAAATCTCAACTTAATAAATGTTCCTAAAAACAACATAAATTTGGCTATGATACCAAGGAAAAATTAAGAGTTAAGTTTATTTAAGGAAGGGTTAAATATTTAAACACAAACAGCTATGGGATAATTTATAGTTTGGTTTAGAATTAGCCGATCTTTCCTCCTAAAACTAATTATTAATCACCTTCTTTCAACAACAGAGGTTTGAGAAGCAATCCCATGTCTAACCATCCTATTGCTTCCTACCAAGAAAGTGTGGACCATTAGGGTCTTTTCAGGAAGAAACATCAACTGCACCACAGCATCAATTAAGAAATCTCTTTTTAAAATGCAAGTACCACCTTAGCAGAACTGAGGGTGTCAGCCATTCATCACTTAATACAACTTACTTTAATTGGTCTTCTAAACACCTACCTAAGAATGCAAAAGAATTACTCTTCTTTGGGAGGCTGAGGCAGAGAGATTGCCTGAGCTCAGGAGTTCAAGACCAGCCTGGCAACACAGTGAAACCCTGTCTCTACTAAAATACAAAAAATAGTCGGGCATGGTTGCAGGCACCTGTAACCTCAGCTACTCAGGAGGCTGAGGCAGGAGAATGGCTTGAACCCAGGAGGTGGAGGTTGCACTGAGCCCAGATGGCACCACTGCACTCCAGTCTGGACGACGCAGCAAGATTCTGTCTTGAAACAACAACAACAAAAAGAATTACTATTCTTACTGGGAGCTCTGAGAAAGAAAGATAAAAATGCAATTCTGAACTATGTTCAGGCCTAGGTGAAGACTCTGGACATCAAGAGGGCAGCAAAAGGATCCATGGTGTCCAAAAGGATAAAAGGAAAGATGGTGCAGGACTAGATGCTAGAGTTCAGTCCAAGGCAGTTTTAACACACTGTACTTTTGATTTAGTACAACTGATCAACAGCAAGTCAAAGCAAATATTTACAATGAAACATCAAGCATGCAGTTAAAGGTTATAATTGTGAAGCTAAATACCACAAAAGTTGAAATACTCTGACTATGTACACACTGTTATACAAAACTAGTAGTCTGAACTCATACAACTATATGTATTACTATTTAATGTCCTTTTACATCCAAAGATAGACACAGAATATTGTCAAAGATTTTTACGGTTGGCCTGCATCTATTAATCTAATAAAACAACCAGAAGCTCCCTAACACTAAAAAAATAACACTGAAGACACAACGCTGGGGAAACCTGGATTCTTCCTGATTTAAACTTATTCAATTACAAAACTAGTTTTACTAATAAGAAGAAAATCATTGTTTACTAGTATTCAAGGCTTTGTTGAATTTATTTTGTTAATTTTAGGGCAAAATTACATGTTTATGTTTTAAATAAATGAAACCTAGTCATTAAAGAGTCTTAATAAAGCATCTGATCATCATTTTAGATAGGTAAGGTGATCTTAATGTAACTGAGGGCCAATATCTACCTTAGAAGCTAATTGTGCCACATCAGTGTTACTATAGTCATTAGGTTTTGGAGTATCATTTTAACCCAGATGGCCAGAGCTATATATTAAAATATAACAGGGTTGGCAATGTACATTTTTTGAGAAAAGAATGTTTCTATACAGAAATGGTGGCTGACTGTAAAATACCAGTAATGTATTTTTAAAAGACCGTAAGTTATTTACTTAGACTATGTAAAATCCACACACTAAATTTTCTGCCAATAATATTTTTTCCTAGCCACTTTAGCTCTATGGTTTACGTCCCACAAACTTTAAGTCAGAAACAGGAGCTGAAGAACAATCATCACTTTAAATATTTCCTTAGACAGATGTTTACTTAACATGGGTATCTCTAATATCCAGTAACGTGGGCACTTAAATTCATGATTCAAGAAAGGACAGAGTTATACTATAGGCTACTAATTAAAATCCAACCATGAAAATCTAACTGCCCAATGTATAATTGGCTTATGATAACACCACATATTAAGTATTCACAGTTCTTTTCTATATATATACATTGGAAGTGCAAGTTTCTAGCGAATCTTTAAGCAAATGGCACGTCTCTGAATAAAATCAGAAAAGCTTTAAAAAATTCTATACTTAATATCATCAACTATGAAAATTATCTTACAGTTAAAATATTCCTAAGGGAATATAGAAATTTTAAAATTATAATCCACAGTAGAGTAGTAATAGGAGAATAAATTAGGTAAATAGGAAAGTTCTCATAAAGCTGGTCAATATGGTGCTCTATGGATTCACACAACTTTGTACAGGGAACACTGTGTTGCATAGTCTACACAGTCATTATTTTTCTCTGTGCTTTCTGAATCCTGAGGCAGATTTAGCATTGTATGAAGATACAGTATTTCACACTGAAACCACAGAGGATTACTGGAGTTTCTAGATGGCATTATTTTTAATTGCACTACTTTAAGGTGGTAGAACATACCCTAGACACAAGTTAAATAAGAAGTATTTGAATTCTTTGCATTTTGAGCTCTTCACAGGAAAACTGTTCTACAAATTCAAGTTTCTGTTATTTGGGGAGCAAGAAAAACAAATAATTCTCAAACAAAAAAAAATATTAAATCCTAGTTTTTAAGATAGCTCCTAATATCCAATACAGGATATAGGACATGAGATACTGGCATTTAACTATTCAAATTTATATAGGATTACAGTACTTTGAAGAAGTACAAAGAAATACTTTAAAAAATACAGGTATATAAATTAATGAAACTGTTATTTAAAATATTTAATACAAGGAAAAAAAGTATTATATAGTGGTACCAATTCTCAATACAAATTATTAAGCATAGTTTATATAATTCCAAAAGTTATTGACATTATTGCTCGATACCACAGTTGTATGGAACAAGTTCTTGACACACATTAAAACTTGTATAATTTCAAGTTTATAAAAAAAATTTACACATAGGTCATTCACAAATCTAGAAGTTTAAAAATGCAGAGATATGCACAATGAAAAGGAGAAAAAAATATATGTGTGTATATGTATATTTAAAAGAAACAAGCTAATCTGGTTTAACTTCTATGTCACACTCTCAATCAAAACAAGTACACATAACAATACTGAAAGTGAACTGGTGGATAGAAACAGTATTAAATGTACCCTCCATTTCTTATTAACAATCTGTTCTAAATATCATTGGGAAATTAAATACCAGCTTACTTTTAGTTCTAGAACTTTTGCTTTCTTTCAAAAACTTTTCAGAAACATATATCCATTCTATAATTGTGATAGGTTAGAAGAAATATTTTCCTTAGAAATTTTGTAAAGGAATACTTCCACTCTTTTGTATATAAGATTTGATAAACAATAAAAATAACCCAAGTAAGGCCATTATCATCTTGATCAAAAATATATACAGATTGTGATGCTACTATATTTTGTGATCCTGAGTTCTAGTAACCACTAGATACATGCATACCATTCATTGATTTGTCTATTCTAGTGAAAATTTAATCCTGTCTTACTACCTTTGAAGACAGAAATACTTTTAAAACTTTTTAATAGGTCTTCATAATGTTACAGATTATCTGCCATAAACAGAGCATTAGGAATTGTATGAGAAAGGGTATGTTAGGTTCCAAAAGGGTATTAAAGAAAACTTACTATTTTAAAATAATGACTTATCAAATTTTAAAAGAGAGAAAAAAATAATACAATAAGTGTGCTTGCTAGAATAGATAAGTTGAGCCTTAAAAGGGTGTTTTTCTGTTAAGGAATTTATAAATAAAGGACTGTGTGTACCTTGGTGATAAAATAAAAAAGGCTGGCCACTTTTTATGCTAAGTTCAAATGTATTTTTTTTGATAATACAAAAAAGTAATCCTTGAAAATCAGAATACATAACAGAAAAGAGCACAATAACTTAAGTATTAAACATCTGTATGAAATAACTGTTGCAAAGATCGACAAAACTGCACACTTAAAACATGCGGTTATTTAAAAAAAAAAAAAAACACCACACGATTCTGTAGAACCAATGTTATGTCACCACCAGGAGAGCACCAAGCAAGGCACCATTGGAAAGACAACATACTTGGAAAGTCTCTATAAATAAAGTAAATGCTAATCTGGTCGAAAAATCGGTGTCTTTGGTAAAAATTCTATGAGGATGACCTGTAAAAGGAGAAGAAAAAGTTTTTAAAAGATTTAAACAAATTTTTTTCATTAAATTTTGGTTATATTCTATCACTTACAATTTTTTTCAAAATCCATTCACATTTTAAAACTGCAACTTTGGATTACTAAAACAGATCTTTATCTGATAATGCAGAGTTCCATCACTGACAATTTTTATTTCTGACCTTTACCAATTACACAAAATACTTTGGCTCTATGAAAAGGAAGACAAATAAGCAAGTAAAATCACCAAAGTCTGAGAAGGGTGATATAAATAATGCCCCTGGCACACTGGAGAAGCAAACATGCATACATGCATGCCCCCTTGCACTCATGAGAAAAGGGGCTAGCATTTATTTAGAACTAACTGTATACCAGGTGTTCCATACTACATTGGGTCTCTTTAAGCCCAACAACTTTTCTATGAGGCAAGTATTATCATCCCTGTTTTATAGATGAGAAAAGCTGATGATCCAGACAAGCTGTAACATGACTGTGGAGTCAGTGTTTGAATGAGACTCCAAAGCCATACCCCTTCTACCACCCTATGTGCCTGTAGCTGACCCAACATTTTTCTTCAGGCTTCCTCTTTTTTAATCAACCCAATTCCATGAGTCTTCTCTAAGTTCTAGAGCTCCTCTCATTTTATGCTACCAGAATATGCAGTATCTTTAAATAAAATGTCCTTTATCTCTTAATTTTTTAAAAAAGTCCATTCCTTCTGAGTTTAGCAAAATTAAAGACTAAAATCTGTTCCAAAAGACCTTTTAGTAAGAAACTAAAGGAAACCCAACAAAAACAAAACATGGTAACACAGAATTACACAAGGTGACCAGAGCTAATTTTTCCAAATTTGAATGGTCTTAAATTATAATCAACTCATTCTTTGCCCCAAATTTATATGGAATAGATGGTGATTTAAAAATTATTCGATTTTAAAAGTGTTTCTAAGTCTAGTACACTTATCATTCTTTTTCAGAAACTGTGTCTTTATCTGACCTCTAGATCTGAATACTTCTACAAATTAGCTATTTGGGCCAGAAATCTTTTTTCACTCTTCAGTTCTCCTGGCTTTTGATCTGCCTCAATAAAGAAGGTATACTTCTATACCTAGGTCAAAAATATTCCTGATCTGTTCTAGTTATCCTGCACTAAGCCTTGGCTGTCACATTAGCCACTCTCCTGACCTGTGATTTGCCTGCAAAATATTCACTAGCTCCCTGTTAAAATACTTTCTCCCAATTAGCTTCTTCATTTGAGCTAGATTTCCCTGTTTCTCACGTTTCTTATCTATAAAATAAAGGCATCGGACTAGATGACAAGATTATTTGCAGCTCTAAAATTTGACAATTAAATGTTAAAACTACTTAAGAGTCAACATTAAGTAAATTATTTTGTATTTCAATATGTCCTCAATCAAGTGGTCTTTATAATTTTAGTCCCCAGGCATGGGCATCCCCACACTTTACAGTATATACTATTAATATATAACATAAAATAAAGGCTATCTTTGTCTACATTTGAATTATTATTAGTTTTAAAATAATATATCCTACAAATTTTTTCTTCAGAAGCCACACATAGAGACTGGCCACTTGTTTCATTTATTCTACGTTTATTCTAAATCATCCGTCTTCACCATATGTGAACAAAGAAAAGTTAGCACCAAGGTGTTTTTCTTTTTTTTTTTTTTTTTGTATCTCCAATGTTCAAATTATAATCAAGGATAATTATTTTCTTTTAACAAAATGAAAGTTCTGTGGGTTACAGAAAAGTTGAGGGAAAAGAGGAACACATGGTTAAAAAGGCCCAAATTCATTAGATAAAATGAATTTTATTTGCTTGTTTAACTTTCAAAATTCATTTTTATGAATTTTTTTTTAAGCTACGTTATTCTTACTTTCAACTGTCACAAATATATATACTCTGAGAAAATCTAGTGAAACACACATTTTTTTCCCCAGGATTTTTTTTTTTTTTTTTAAGCGGGGGGGTATTGCTGTATTACCCAGATTGTCCTTGTACTCCTGAGCGCCAGTGATCCTGCTGCCTCAGCCTCCCCAGTAGCTGGGACTACTGGCATGCCCACTACACCCAGCTTTTTCCTAGCAATTTAAATATTCATTTTATCTTTACTATTCTTCTGGATATCTCCTATGATGATGAGGAAGTAATATAATGGCTTTAGTAGAAGTGCTTAATTATCTAAAAATTCAAGGAAACTATTTTACAAACAAAGCATATAGTTCAGAATATTTTGGAAGGTTACTAATTTTATGAATAAATTATAGTCACATGGCTCGATCTGGAAATCATAGTATTGGGATAACTTTTATGTTTTCCTTTCCAAAGTAAATTTAGAAATGCATGAAAAAATTAATACCTCAGTTTTAAGCTTAGTGTTTGTATTTATATATGCAGTATTTTTTTCACTAAATCCTTTACATCTCCAAACTATCCATTTCTCTTCCCAAAATACATACATAAACCCTCTTTTTAAGGTGAAAAATACAAAACTAGTATTCTCAACTCAAAATAAGTTACTCAAATGTGTTATGATTATAAAGAAGTATCAAGTGTCTTTCTCATCATCATAAATTAACATGTTTGATATAGTAAAGACAAAATCTACATTATTTGGTTTATTGAATAAAGCCAGTCTAAGACATTTTATAAATATTATTTATGTTCAAAGCTAGAAATGGAATTTGACTGTGTGATAATGAAAGAACAGGAAAATGCTAATAGAGAAAAATGATTTTATGGTAATTTACAACTATTTAAACTGTTTTAATCAATATTTTACACACACACACACACACACACACACACACACACACACATATCTATGATGGCTACATAGTTTTAAAGAATAGACAAAATTCCTCAGAAATGTTGTAACAGGTACTTCACAAAGGCTCTGAGTTTTATTTTCAACAATTAACTTTTCCTTAGATCTTTTTCTTTTAAAGTAACAACCTGGCCATATTTAAAATAAAACACCCAGGCTCAAAAGAGAATTAAAATTCCTAATTTTCTAGAGTATTCTGAAAATTTCAAAAGGAGAAAAACTGTTCAAGTAAATCATGGAGTTGGTAAATTAAATCCCATGCTGAATAAGTTCTAAAATTCATCATCTCTACATATGCCAAATTAGGTATTTTTTAATAAGTAAACACAAGATGATCAACATCTCATCTCCTGCTTATTTTTAAGCTAATTTTTACTAAGCATTATTCTAATAACACTTCTTTAAAGGCCACTGAGGTATGGGCAGTTAAAATCTATAAAGGCTAAAGGTTTCTTAAGCTCCAATGGCTTGGCTGAAAGGTTTTCTTCCATACTGGGAAACTTGATTAGCATTATATAAAAAAGCCATATCTGACTTGCTGCGTAACCAAAGTTGTGGTTATTCTTCATACAGCATCTAAAATTTCACACTCCATCAACACATGTTCAGGCTATTTTATCTTGGCAATTAATTTATTATTTTTCAGAACACAGTGAAGCCTTGTTTTCAAGTCATTCATAACTTTATAAATCAGTCTTGCACATGAAACCATGCATCTGTGAACCGTAGAAAATCCTTGCACTCAAGAGATTAAGCTCCTGACACCTTTGCTGATTAATAATCATGGAAAGAATAAGATCAGAAGCAAAATAAATGATCATTTAATAGAGAAACTCACAAAACAGCCCTTTAACTTACATATTCCATCATGTTATTCGTTTCACATTTCCTTTTGCTCAGTCTCCAATGCAAGCACAGCTAGACAAGTAGGAGAGTAAAAGAAGAAAAATGAGCTCTATTTTATTGCAGCACACAGACTAACCCATTTGTCCACCTTTCATATTTTTAGTTCAACAAAAGCATCTGTTTCCATACTGTGCAATTCAGACCCCAACAGTACGAAGCTGCTCCCTGTGGTACTCACCTTGTGGTATAACCTATTGTTTTCCCATTCTAATAACTTCTCAATCGATCTTCGTGTCTGGAAGACAAATGAGAAAAAAGTTTACTCTTGACTGGTTTTAGAAAACTTTCTTTTGCAGCTGCTTTTTTTTCTGGGAAAAGGAAGAGGTATAAGACGGTGACTGAGTATAGTGTGGTGTGCATCACTATCAGTGTTCTAAGCACTAAATGGTAACCTAAACACAAAGAGTATTCTTTCTTTAAAAACGTATTGCTTTATTTTTAATCATACGAATCTTTTTTACTAGCCTCTGATTTAAAACTATCAAGGTTTAAAAAGCTAATATCATCTGCCAAATCAATTTAAATCCCCACTTGTTTGAAAAATATGTTTCCAATACTTAAATGGTAACAAAAGTTCCTTAATACATATTTTAAAACAAAAGTAAATATTAGTTAACAAAATGCAAAGGGTCTTTCAGTAAGTTCCAAAACAAAAAAAAATTGGGAGGTTAATATTTAAAAATCAAGGAGTTAAAAAAACAAACTAACTTTCACATCATGCTTAAAATAATATCCATCTTTAAAAGCCGGCTTACTGATTATTCTACAGACAGAAGGCAAAAATTTTATTTAAACCAACATAAAAGTGTCATCTGATAGTAAAATCAAACTCTTAATTTAATATTACTGTTTCAGGAATCAACTGAGAATTTACTTCACTTGACTACTGCAAAATATGCTATCCTGCAAAAAATGTTTCTGGCTTGGGAGTATGAATAAAAGAGGGTAATTCATGGTGCCAGGTGTTAGGATGAGACTGACACAGCTGCACGTGCAAAAATGACAGTGTAGCCACCAGGATCAATTGCAACTTGGTTCAGCTGCACCTTTCTTGCAAGGGAAAGAAAAAAACATCTTACCACTATTAATGTGGTATAATTATAAGTAAGTATTAGTGATCAAATATGAAAATTTACGTGTTAAGCAAGGACTAGCTGGATGAAAAACTGTTAGGATGAAGCTGGGTTTGAACAGTTTAATGTTACACAATAAAATTTTAGTATTTATTTAAAGTATCCACTGTAATCTAGTTACGTTACCTTTTAGCATATTAAACATGCTAAAGACACACCAAAGTCACATAAGGTGCCAATTATAATTCATAACTACCAATGAATTACGGCTACTGCCTTACATTTTCCAAGCTTATGTCCTAAAAATCAGAAAACCAACTACTTCTCTAGGTAATAATATGCCAATGACTAATTTATTACATTACTTTCTTTGAAGAGTCTTTTTGGCAAGAATTTTAAAGAAAAAAAAATGTGCCCTTGTTAACAATGATCAGCAGACCTCACTTGTTTCTTTGTAAAGATAGCCTTTTAGAGGCAGCTCTCCTTTTAAATGAAAATAGGGCAGCAGTTATGGTCACACTTTTTGTTAATTTAGTTGCCAGTCAGCCCCAAATCAAAAGAAAATAAGGCTGCAGAGTGTAATTAACATTCAGTTCGGTCGTTTTGTCCCTTGTCTAGCCCCCAAGCTTTGTTAAAATTGCCATCTGAATGCTGAAGGCTGTAGGGAAATCGATTTGATTCTAATCGCACCATGAAAAGAACATGATCTAACTGCTTTCAGCCCTCCGTAAATCTGTACTAGGTCTTTAGCACAATGCAACTTCCAATTTAAAAAGCACTGAATGTCTCGTCAATGACTTTGTGAAGAAAAAAGAACAAGGAGCAGACATAAAAATTCCAATAGTTGTTTAAGCATTAAAGTTCATTTGCATCACAGCGAACCTGAAAAGGGCTGACCTCTCAAACCGCCTCTCAGGTCTATGAAGTTGTAGCCTTGACAAGCTCACATTGACAGAGCTCATTGACTCTGAAAGGCTACTCTATCAATGGTGAAAAATGGCAATAGGTTCTACTCTGAGCAGGCATCTGCCTGCCCACCCGCTGCTAAACCAATGGCAAAACCGATTCAAAACCTGAATCTACCTTGTAATCTTTCTTTCCAGGGCCTTTTAATAATAGATTAAGATTACTATACAATTTGAGGTTTCACTTTTACTGATGATTTTGGGGGTGGGTGGATGATGAAAGAACTAGAGTGGAACAAGATTTCCAAGTCCATTGTTTTATATTAAAGTATAAAATAGTACTCAAAAGCTTAATACTACATTCTGTAAATATGTATTACTTAAAGAAGAAAATGTAGTTACCGTCATCATTTCGTCAGAAATTTAAACCCATACTACAGTAAGAATAGATCTCATTATGATATATAGACACACACAGACACGTACAATTTTAAAACTTAAAAATATTTACTTTAACTTAAATCAACTACTAGCTTTCGAATAAAAGATAATTACGAAGTATAAATCTTAACTTCCAAAATATTTATGTAGGAATTTTGAATTTCTTCTTTGCCTATAATTAGGAGTTTAATGATAGGGTTTGGTGTAATAATTGTATTACAATATTTAAGAATTCTAAAACAAACAAGCTCTGGTATGCCACATTCTGAATAAGCATATAAATATAAAATATTTCTACACACTTCACAGTCTGAAGTAAAAGCTGCAAATTAGCACCATCTAATCTTGCTATAAGACTTCTTTCCTGCTTGACAGGTGAAAAAAAAAAGCACTTGCACGTGCAGCTTAATTAATCATTGCACTTGACATCTCAATGATTTACAGTGAGGAGCAGGTGAGAACATACAAAACCAGAAAGGAACCCTTGATTTGAGTGGAACATTTCTAGCACACTAAGGTGACAAGTATATAGATTCTAGCAGTCATTTAAAAAAAGAAAGAAAAGAAACTGTGCCACAAATTATTTGTTAGTAACAACAAAAGCTCAAATTAAATGAAAAAAAAAAAAAAAAGATTTAACTACTGAGAATGTTTAATACTCTGCAATTATTTTTAGTTAAGAAAATCAAAATATATTTTCAAGATTAAATACAATACCAATTTGGCAGATACTAGAAAAAAATGACACTTCAGCATTTATAAAAGCTAGTTAAAAGCTTTAAACCTGAAAAGAAAGCATACTATAACTGTAGTCATCTAGAGAAAAGTTAAGAGTTTATGTCCACAATGCTGTTAAGTAGCTATTTCTAACGAAATGTAAGATTCAACACTGCCAAACTCCATACTTGCTAACTGGACAAGCAAACCTAATCATATTAACAACCTCTCCTTGGTTTTTAAATGTTTTATTTCAATTCCAAATTCAAAACAAGCTGAAGCACATTAATATATGTCAGAAAAAAATAATACGTATGGGATCTGTCAGCATGAAACATAGTACCAAAAAACACCATCTTTCAGTATTCCAGACTACTTTCTAAAAAAAATAAGTCATCTTTAATTTTCTTAAGAGAATTTAGTGCTTGTGAAAAGCACCGATTGATAGTCATGGGAACTAAAAATCTATTTGGCTGAAAGAACAGGGGAAAGGGCAGTGCAGGCTTTAGTGCAAGCTTCCCTACAGTGGGTCTTAATCCTTTTTCACTGTTCACACTCTGGGGGTGAGGGGACAGGTTAGTGGTTCTTTACCAATGGAATCCTCAGTCCTTCTGCAAAAGATGATCAACATAAAACTAATTTTATCATGTATTCTCATCAATAATTAAATGGACCAAGACCACCAACTCATACCATGCAAGAGAAACAACTTTTTTGTGCTAGTGGTATCATATTACTGACCTGGTCTTGAGGCAGACAGCTCCAAACCTCTGGATCCTACCCATCTCGCTCGGACAGTTCACTTTAAATGACCCTTTTTCTTAAAAAAAGACCTATACATTTCTTCATTTCCATACCTTAGTGGTTATATTTTTCTCATCAGTGAACTAGTTTTAATACAGCCATTTAGCTGTGTGAAAGTAAAAATTAACAAGAGATTCAAAAAATATCATTTCAATTACTAAATAGATATTAAACGGATTTAAGTTGAGCAACAGTAGTAGTAACAGAGTAGAAATTTTGGCTTCTATTTACATTGCCTTTGGTCCTTTTTAGATTTTTGGTAGAATTATGAAAATAAGGAAAAACATGAAAACAAAGAGAACTAAAAGGACCTCAGTAATTCACAAAATGGCTAATGAGGTCATGATTAATCAACAATATTAGATAAGACATACCCATATAAGACATATCTTCCAAAGAAGCATCTAAAGTAAGCTTACAGTAGCAAAATACATATACACCTAGACAAACTCAATTACTGCAATAGAAAACGAAGATTTCCTGAAAATTCAAATTTGAATTATTAGGTACTTTTGTAATTTTTCCTAAATACTGTAACTTTCTTAGGAATAAATTATTAATATTATTCCCTGTAAACAAATTAAGTGCCATTAGATATAAATAAGTCTTGCAGGAAAGCAAAGAACCATTTAGAAAATCTTTAAGGTATTAATCTCCTACTTTGCAACCACTATTATTTAAGAGTTGCCTAATTCCCAATGACTCATTTATTGACAATCAATTGTTTGAAAATGTGGTTTTACAAAGAAGTGGTTTTCTAGACATTACTAATAAAACCAATGGAAATTTCATGAATTTTAGAGTATTAAGCCAAAAAAAAAAAACTATTAAGTGTAGAAACTGTAATAAAGTTTCTCTTACTATTTCCCAATGAAATAGTGTTCTCAGTCTTTAGAACAAAAAGACACTATGATATGCTAAGAAAATGTATAACTAGAATATCTCACTAATAACTATTTATAAAAGTTCATCTATTTAAACCTATAAAATGTATTTGAATTGGATTTATGCATACCATCACAAAATGGGAAAGCAAAATTTCAAATGTTCAATTTCCTACTTAAAACAAATTTTAATTTTAAGCTCTTTAATCTATAATGCATTAACTAACCTTTAACTCGAATAATGCTTTGAATGTATTCATAATCTTGTTTTTATAAGTATTTTTCAAATAAGAATGCTATTTATCTTTAGACATCTGTGTAAACTGAATTTAAATAAAACAATGTTTTTGGTTACGTTATTAGGAAGAAACCATATGTAATTTAAAATGAATTATTTTAACATAAGAAAAC